TTGTTGAGAGGCTCTAGAGGTTAAGAAATTCCCTAAGAGTTTTTAGGTGGATCTAAGGCTTTTTTTTGGACAGAGGTCCAGTTTAACTCTAAGAGAAATATCAAGGTTTGTTTTTGCTGCATGTTGGTGTGAATTGGTGATTTTGGTTAAGTTAATGTTGCTTGTTGCTCTTGTGGTAGGATTCAAGTTGTTAATGATGTATATGTTTGATTTGTTGTAATGCATGTTGAGTTCTTGATTTTCATGTTAAGGCAGGGCCAATTTATGAGTATGTTAAGTGCATAACTCTTCATTGCACTAAGCACACCTTCAAGGCATTATGTGTGACTTAAATTAGGGGTCTCTATCTTACTCTTGTCGAGTACAGGATTGGTGACACTGAGCCTGAGGAGAGGGAATTACCTCTAACTAAACCACGTCGGGCGTGCTTTGAATGACGTCAAGCATAAAGTGAAAGAATTGCCTCTAGTTGGATTGACATCGAGCGTCAATGGGGTGGCAATAGGCATGAGGAGAGAGACTCGTCTTTACCTAAAATGGGACCAAGCATGCCAGACATGAGGGCCTAGAAGCCCCCTACCTCATCCACATTGAGTGCATGTTAAATGGTGTCAAGCATAGGCCAAGGTCACGCCCTCCTTGTAGCATCACTTACCCAAGGGTCGTGCCATCCCTAGTCATTAGTGTGAGGAACCACAATCATAATCATATTCACATTTATCACAACATCTCATCTTATAGCTCAATTTCATATCACATACACACAACAGATAAGTCCAACAAAATAATAGTTTCCATACCTCTCAAGCAATTCACATCTAGATCATCAATTTTTATCATATAATATAACAATAACATTTATAAATTAATATAATACTCAACCGAATACCTATTTAGTAGAATCTTAACTTAAACATAAAACCCCCAATTTTTTCAAAACTTAATTCACAGACATTTTTCTACAATTTCGTTCTCTCTCCTAGATCATCATTTTTACAAATTAAATATATATTTCTAATCCTTACTACATGTAAAATCTAATGGGATCATCAATTCCTCAAACAGAAATAATTATAAAATTACCCATAATCCTAAGGGACTCTTCCTTTACCCAATTCCCTCATGTAACTCTACATACAAATAATTTCCTTTTCCCCGTATCTCGATAAGTAGTAGCTGAAACTAAAACAGAGATCTCCTTGGTCTCCTCCTCTGAGTGCCCCTCGGTTTTCAGAGAGTGTAGAAGGAAAAGAAGAGAATGTAGAAGAAAAAAGTCAGAACTTAAAGAAGTTAGAACTGAAAAGTGTATTTTTGAGAGTGCCAAAGCGCTCTATTTATAGGCATCAGGAGTGGCAAGAACGGCCCGTTTCAAATCCGAAACGGCCCGTTCTAGACTCTTCATCATGCGTAAAATTTCACATCCAGAACGGCCAGTTGTCAAACCAGAACGACTCGTTCTGGGGTTGCATTTAACCCACAATGTCCATAATTGGAACGGTCCGTTCTTAAACCAGAACGACCCGTTCCCAACTAGGGTTACAAGCCTTTTTGGTAATTTGAAACGTCCCGTTCCAATATGGGAATGCCTCGTTCCCAACTAAGATTTGTAGGCAATTTTAGTATTTTGGAACGACCCGTTCCAATTTGAGAACGACCCATTCTGAGATACTAAATCACCCTCGTTTTAGTAGTTTGGAACGACCCGTTCCAATTTGAGAACGGCCCGTTCTAGGCTATTAAATCACCTCTATTGGGCTTTGGGCCATCGTACAATCTGTGAAAATTGGGCTGTTACATTGATGATCACCTACAACATAAGAAAAACATACAAAGAATAACACGTGAGTGAGAAACATCTCACTCGGGTTTAGGTGCAGAGACACATGTCGAATAGCAAACAAACACAACAATCATTGTACAAGGTACAAGTACAATCCATACATAGTCAATTATCTCACACACAATCACTCATCATGCTAGGATGCCATGGACTTGACTCGACTCTTAATGCATGCATGTGACGCCATACGGAAGTTGCAAATTTCTCATCATTGGCATGCTGCTACAACAACATACCTAGGGGCACGTTTATTCATAAATACATTACTAGTGATCTAAGGTACACTTAGAATAGCTCAATACATCACTAGCATGCAGCCTAAGCGGCACACTAGAGTCATATATGCACATGATGCATGTCACACATTCACTATTTCATTGAGTCAATATTTCACTCATCATATCTCATATCACTTGTCACATTTCTCATAATCATCTCATAGGTTCACGCACATAAGTATCCACATCGTCAAAATTTCCATAAAAACACATAATAGAAAATGAATCAATAACTAGGCAATGTGAATTCAATTCGCACCTTCAAACACACTACAAAACATGTAAACATCAATACAGGTTACGCCCGGTTCGCCCCAACTCAAACCTAAAATTCCCGACTTCGCAAATCACACGATTATTCAAATAAAAACAGATATTCATGCAATCCAATCGGTACAATTAGTTCCAATAATTTCTAGATCACGAATTCATACTCAATTTTACATAAAATATCTTAAATATCAACTCAAGATCATGTTCCTAATTTTACCTCATAGGATTTCACATAGGAACTCACAGAGCACTCTAATTCATATCAAAACTTATATATTTTTTAAATTAAATGCATTTTCACATTCAACAAATATCAATGAACACAATAGAAAACTCAAACATGAAAACAGAAAACATTCAGAAAGTGTCTATTCTTAAAAACATGCATTAGGCAAGGGATTGAGGACTAACTCTACTATCAAACTTATCCAATTTCAAAATTAAATACACATGCATTCTCAGCATTCATCAAGGAACATAACAGAAGCATCAAACATTCAAACAGAAAACTTTCACAATTTGCTTGTTCTTATAAGCATGTATCAGGCAAGGGATTGGGGTCAATTTCGCTATCGAACATATCCAATTTCAAAATTAAACACACATTCATGCTCAATATTCATCAAGGAACACAATAGAAACATCAAACATTCAAACAAAAAACTTTCACAATTTGCCATGTTCCTATAGGCATGCATTAGGCAAGAGATTGGAGGCCAATCCAACTACCCAACATATATTCTCACACTCCCAGGTGAGGTCTATCACTCTCCCCCCCTCCCCCTTATCTTGATGAGTAGAAGATGAAGCACGAGTGGTTCCTGGTGACCTCTTTCTCATGGTTCTCTTGAGTCTTCAAAGTACAACGCGTATGAGAAAGTGAGAAGCATGAAAATACAACCTCCTTTCTTAAAAATAGTAAAAATAAATAATAATAATAATAATAATAATAATAATATTTAGCAAAAGGCCACTACCCCTCATTACCTTCTCATAAAATAATTAAACATATTTCCACCTTTTAATAAATAACATAAACATAATTTTTGATAAAAAAATATTTTCATAAAAATAGACTAATAGCAAATAATTCAAATATCAATTAAAAATTATTTTTTATATTAAAATAGAGCTCATATAAAATAGATAAATAATATAAATATATTTCTGCCTTTTAGTAAAAATATCATACGTTTTATATAAAAATAGAACTCATATCTACTAGTTAAATAATATTAAAAATTCTTTTAATATACACATTAAAATATTAAAATAATTACAAACATATTATTAATAATAAAAAAATTCATAAAAGTTACCTATATATCACTAATCAAAATAATCATTATAAATCATGTCTCATAAATAAAATAGAATTCATATAATTAATTAATTAATTTCAAAACTCTAAAATAATTATACTAAATATCAAAATAATTTCAAAAATATTATTTATATAAAGTATGAAAAATCAGGATATTACAAAATTTATTGAAAATTATCAATTCAGAAGAAAAAGTTATTAAATAAGATTCAAAATTCACATAATTTTTTGACCTTTAATAAATAAAAATGTACTCAAAATAATATATCGGAAGGATTTCTCATCACAGAATCCATAAATCATCCATAACTCACAAGTGCAAAAAAGATATTTTACGTCTGTTATTTTCATATTTTTACGTCAGAAAAACGTCTGACGTAAATACGGAAGACATAAATCTACATCGGGTTTAAAAGCTGACGTAATATTATGTCGGTTGTTTTCGAGTTCCGACATAAAAAAGTTGAAAAACCAAGACCAGAACGGCTCGTTCTGCTTGCACTCGTTGTGTGTTAATTGTGCATCTGGAACGGGCCGTTCTGGTTTGAGAACGGGACGTTCCAAATGAAAAATTAACACATGACATATGCAAGCAAAACAGGCCGTTCTAGTTAGAGAACGAGCCGTTCCAAATACAAAATTAACACATGACATACGTATATTTTCATTTAAAAAATATACCTACGGAATAACCATAAATTCTCCAAAACAACACACACAAACAATGTTTAAGTTCAAAAATATCCTCCAATCCAATCTATTTGCACTAACCTTGAATCCCAACACCTTCGAGTATCCTTAACCGCTAACTTAAGCAAGACGCGCACCAAAACTTTAATACAATCAGATAAAATGATCTGCAATGATGAATGGACGTGGACGTCGCCACCACCGTTGCCGTTCAACGTCACCGAAAACACCCAGCATGCATAGAAACTCGTCGTCGGAGGTCGCCTGAACGTTCTTCAAAAAACCCTAGAGTGCGCGCGAAGAAATGAATAAGGGGAAGTGAATATAACAAGGTTTTTACGTCAGACATTACGAGGTCCGACGTAAATTTTTAAATCTACATCGGACTATATAGAGGATCGACGTAGCTTTTAAATTTTACGTCAGACTTAGTAGTGTCTGACGTAAAAAATTTGGTTTAAATTTTAAAAATGTCACCGTATTGTTTTTACGTCAAATTTTTCATTTTTCAACGACAAAATTGTGACGTAAATAACAGATTTGGTACTAGCGACTACAATTGCAACTTGTGCCTCAAATTTCAAAACATGTGATATAATGAAGGCAACACTGTTATTATGTACCAAGGAAAAGAATGTATACTCTGCTACCTTTGTGTTTCTAACTACACATAAAATTAAGTATGACCCTAATGAATCATGTATATATGTAAATGATGTTTAGTTTGATCCTAGCTAGCTAAGTTGAAACCCCAACATGATGATGCTTTTTGATGACAGCAAGCAGCAACTCACTCCACATATCAACAGGCCCAGGCATGCACCAGTGAGTGCAATCATTGTAACCCCTCATCCACTTGTTCCCCCAATGCTCCCCAGGGTGCGCATCAGGCCTCATCAGCATAGCCCTAGCCACATCCACCACCTCAAACCTATGCCCTAGCCCTCCCTCCAAGCCCTCTCTCCTTGCCTTCTCAAACTCCTCCATCTGCACATTCCTCACTTCCCAATCAAACTTCCCAAAGTCCACCTCCCCCTCACTCACAGGACCTGTCCTATTGCAGTACCCTCCAGTGTTCCAAAAACCATTCTCAAAGTGTGCTGGTGCAAAAGTCCTCATCACTGTCACCACCTTGGCACATTCTTTGCATGCATTGATGTGCTTGAAGGCTGTTCTGAAGGCTGCTCTTATTGTGAAGTCGGGGTTGTAGTGTGTGAGGTTTTGCTGGTCGCAGTAGACGCAGCCTAAGAGGCTCTGGGCTTGGTAGAGGTGCATGACTCGGAAGAACCAGTGGCCGTCGGAGATTATGGCGTAGTCTAGGTGGGGGAGTTGTGTGGCCCAATCTTCGTCAACCTTGTCCAGCTGCATGTCGAAAACGCTGAAGTTTGTGCCATTTACCATTCTCTCTGTGCCTACTATCAGGAACCTGCTCCACAGCATCGTCAGGGTGAAGTCGTGCATGGGAAAATACCACTTCCGGAACCTGTCTTCTGAGTCCTTGTAAAGGTCCTTTGGACTCTCTTCCTGCAAAGTTTCAAACAAACAAGTATTTACCAACTCTGTAAATACATGAAAAATCTATTGCAGGGTAACCAAATCCCCTTGAGCTAATAGACAAGTGGATAAAGGAATACATATGATAAGTATATGATGTAACAAGGAAAAGAAGAATAATGTTATCGAGATATTTATACTGTGGTAGATAATAGACTTGTTGGATATTTATATTATTTCTACTTTTTTATCTGAGTAGTTCAGTGTTTTGCAAGTTGGTTTTATATATATCCGATTCTCTTCACTCTTATATGTGATTGTTATTATATTATTGAAATATGCTAAACCCTTTCTCATCTCCCTTTGCACTCTCTTCTTTCATCTTCTTTTTTCTTTTATGTTTGTATTATTCACATGGTATTAGAGTTGGTTGGATTCTATCCATAACTTTTGCATATCTATTTATCACTAACAGTAAAGAGAATGAGATATAAGATCAACATCTAAAAGAAAAAAATAGAAATAACATAAATGTTCAACAAAGCTATTATCTACCAAGTTATTGAGATGTTTATACCATGCAAGTTTTCAAAAAAAAAAAAAAAAACTCTAGATAGTTACATGTATAAAAGCTTTTATTAACGTTTAAGCTTATTATGCGAGTTCATTACAAAATGGCTGGCATCCACCCTTGAAGATACTCAGAACAAGATTAAAAAAAAAAAAAGATAAATAATTTATATAATTAATATATAATGTAATTAATAAAAATGAGAAATGTCAATTATGTATTTATAATGTAATAAAAATGAAAAATCTAGTCTTCCATTGTTCCTTTCTTAGTTTATTTCTTCCATGATTATCATTTCCATGTCGTGGAGGAAAATATAAGAAAGCAATAAGAGGGACAAGAACCCGTGTATTTTCAACTATTGGTGTCATGCTAATGATGTTGACATGACATTATGGTATTCCACAAACCAAATCAGATCCCAATCACGAAGTGCTGGGACAGATTCTTTGACTTAATCAAATTAAATATAGCAATAATAGTAGGAAAATAATAATTTTACAGAGGTATATGTTTTTTAATGTGTAAATCATCTCTTGATGATATTATTATATATAAACTTGCATACAGCCCTCTTTATTCACTAAAAAGTTATAATAATAAACTTGCATATAGATTTGAAGATATAAAACAAATTGGACAAGAAAAAGGATATAATTTTTTGTGCATATAGAAAGTGGCCAATAAAAAAATTCTAATTAACATAATTAAACACTAGTTTCTCTAACAACACAGTTACTAGTTTCTCTAACATGAAGACATCCTAATTGACCCAACCCAACCATTGGTTTTGATGAAAAACAGAGACTATTTAGTATTTACACGAGTGAGTACGTAGCTTAGCTCTTACACTTTTCTACTGTCAAATTCCTCTGTCCTTGTCTCTGAACGAGGGGAGTATATTTCGGAGTTTGAACTTGCATTGCATGTCCCATAACTTTATTCCCCAAGTTGTCTAAAATATCTAAATGGGACTTTCTAAAGTCAATGTATTGATAACAAGCAGTTGTATGTCTTTCTTTTATTATTTCTGTGTATTAAATTAAAACAAATAACAAAAACACGTAATACTTATAGTTAAAATAATATTTGCTAAGAAGTTTGTAAAGGCAGTGGTTAAGGAATTTAATAAATGATTAAATAATTAAAAGTAATTATTATTTTAAGAATTCAAAATATATTGAATACTTCATTTTAAAATATTTAAGAATTTATTACTAGATCATAAATAGAAAAAAAGTTTAAATAGTTGAGAAAAATATTAAAAAGAATTGTTGAGGATTAGAATTATTCTAATATATCCGATGATTGTTCTAAAAAGGGGTTGTAGCCAATTAAACATAATCAGCAGCTATTTTTGAGAAATAATCAACCCTTTAAAAGTTGTACACAAATCATTCCCACCACCAAACAAAGAAATAAAATTGACATCCACTAAATATAATTAATAAACAATAATCTCTGGCTGAGCTTTGCCTTTAGCTGTGTTCTGTTTTACCTTGTATCCCACTTTACTATCTTCACACATTGCTTGTTAATTCTTACGCAACGTCGTTAGATGAGTATTAATTTTAGAGTATTAGACAGAACTAGCAGATAAAGTAATTTCAAATTAAAAATTTATTTAGAAGATAAAAAGTTAATTGAAAAACGACATTACTAGTTGAAATTGGAAGTTGACAAGCCAAGATAATTAATTGATTTAAAAGTGTGTGGTTAAACAAACTCAGAAACTGAAAAATAAGTGTAAAATGATGTAAAAGAACTTAAATGAAGGAATTGTGTAAGATAATGATATTAAAAATGAAAAGAAAAAAAAAAGAGTTTTAAGCTCACATGCTACATGATGTGTTAAATAAAAAACTATTGAAATGATATAAAGTACTAAAGTAAGCTTCTTTACTAAATAAATCTAGTTGAAAAAACTTTTAAACTAGTGAAAATGACTTAAAACTTCTTAAGCACACTTTTTTTTTCTCTCTTTTACTTTCTTTTTTTTGTTAATACCCAACACTTCCTAGGCCAAAGTTTGAAATAGTCACTTGTCAAAAAGCACTATCTAACTATTATCACGGCCGAAAAAAATAACCTCTCAAATACATTAGTCAAACACAAAAGAGAAGAAGAAAAAATTGTGTGGTGAGAGCATTTATACGTGTGGTGTCACATTCAAGTATATTTTTGCTTTCTCTGCCTTTCCCTTGTTCCTTTGATTTCGTTTACAAGAATCACATTCCCCTTTTTATGCAAGCAAAGAATTCCAACTCCACCAAAGCCAAAATTGTGTCACTTGAGTGTGCAACTTGTAAAAGAACGATATACTTGACATTAATTGAGTATCAAACACGGGAAAAATTTTAGCTCTTAATTACTAAAGTGACAATTTTTTTTTTTTATCATGAGAACAAAATTCGAATCTAAAATCTTACACATGCTAATCCAATCTCCCATCATTAGACCACTAGAGTTACAAATGTTTTGGTATTGTTATTTATGCAATAGTTAAATGAGTTTTAACATGCCAAAAGAAAGAGAGAGAAAAAATTATATTGTAATTACTATAAGAGAGATATTCGATAGCAATACCAAAACTATTAAATTTCCGAAAGTAACAACATAGAATTTCAGTAATTACTATTAGGTACTAACCTGTGACAAGAGACAGATGAGGGAATCAAAATGGTTCCTGGCCACAGAGTCACCAATGAAAGCCATTTTCTTGCCACGAACCATGTGGAGGAAAGTTTTGGGGTCGAACCTAGGAAGCTCACATTGCTCTGGCTTCCATTTCCATTTCAGAAAATCACTGTCCTCTCTCCCATGCTTGAAACAGTTTTTGCTTTCAGGGATTGTGGTGCAGCTTGAATTGGTGTAATAGGATGATGACCCTTCCAAATCCGGTACCCAATGACCCTTAGAAAGGTCACATGTTTTCTGTTCTGCCCCATAAAAAATATAAACACAAATTTATGAAAGGGAAATTGAAAACCGGAAAATCAAATTACCACGCATAAAGGGTAATCATAATCACAATCAAGATTTTAAATTGTGATTACGATCTGAATTTCGTACAATTCTTGATATAGTGGGAAAATTGAAGACCGATACGAAAACCTTAATAACATTGCGGCCGAAATTGTAATCACGGATTTTATTTTTCTAAAACCTTGATCATGGTCATGGATGTGATAAATTTGAAACATACCATTTGGTGGTTTGGATGATGGAACATTTGTTGTGGTAGCATGTTCTTGTTGTTGTTGTTGCTTTTGAGAGGGTTTTTCAAACATGTCATGGCCATGATGGGGTGTGAGGGTCAAGGGGTTTGGAGCATAGAGGAAGAACAAACTGAAAACGGATGCCATTAAGAGAGATATCAAGACAAAAGGGACCCCCTTCCCTATGGTCAGCCATCTCTCCCTTTTGTTATGATTATGATGGTACTGCTTGTCCTGAAACATCGTACTGGATGTCTTCATGTTCCTCTCTAACACCCCTCTGACACTTTGAGAGAAAGAGAGAGAGAGAGAGTGTGAGAAAAGTGGGGCTTTGTTCAATGTGAGAGAACCATGAGAATCCAAAATCATAATAGAAAATTTGGTGTCAATATGTTCATGAATTTGTAACTGCCATTCTGAAACTTTGGGGATATCTTGAAATGGAAATAATACTCTCATCAATAATCAATAATCTTATTCTATACCATTTCTACGCGTTGCTGATTTGGAAAAACCAAGATTGAAAACATAGGCAAAAATTGTTTTCCTTGATCTATTTTCTATAGCAAGAAATGCTCGTTTTCTTGTTTAATTATTTTTTTTCTACCAAATTTGGTACTAAAGAGTTTATATTAAATATTATTTAATTATAAATTATCTTTATGATAAAAAAATTTATTGACATTCATAATAATTAATTATTATTTTTTCGTATCAATAACGTGATTACTAAAAAAATTAATTTTAAAATCATATTCACAAAGATTTTTAATTAGTCAATTAGGCAAGAATATCTATAAAAAAATATGTATAAACGATGGAATAATATCTTAATATGTTGAAAGTCATTAATGACTTAAAAAAAATATTATTTTTGTTTCTTTAACTTTTAGCCCGGATTTGGTATAGTATCAACAAGGATATAACACCTTATATGTGGGGTAAAAAAAATATTTTCTGACTACTAATTTTATCATAAATTTTTTAGAAATCATTAAATTATATGCAAGACAATTCTTGGCAAGCCTGAAAAAGAGATGGTCCAGATGATTATTGTTTTGTTGGTATTTGAGAAATATTATTGTTTGTGGAAAGCAGAATACTTGTGAAAGAGAAAGGCAAAAGAGTGGAAGTACTTGTACACATGAGAATGAATATGACACATGTCAAGGTACAATTAAGCATTGCATGTGATATTGTTGGGGTGGACCAGTCCCATATATACCCTAATTTCACGGCACAAACCCTGCACTTTTGGTACTGTGTTGGTGGTGAATGAATATGGTCATGGATGGTTCTATAACTGTAATTAAGAGTGTAAGGCTTAAGACTACTTCTCTAACTCCACTTTCTCACATGCCATGTAACAAAGGGTGGATCAGAAGATCAACCAGCAATCTAAAGCTTTATGCTTTGACCCTTTTTTTTGTGCTACATGTTTGGTTAAAATTCAATGAAATTTTTTTTTTTTTTTTTTACATTGAATTTGTATGATTTATTTTAAGAATAAGAGGAAAGATAATGAAATTTAGGGTAAAAGGTTTGGTGTAATAAAAGAGACAGAAAGAAAAATAATATGAAAAAATAGTTTATATATAAATAGCTTAAAGATATTTTATGTTATCCTTAAATTTACTTTTAGTTTCTTAAATTTATAAAATTTATAATAAATTTATTTTATTTCTCAACTTTAATATTGATATTTTAGTTAATATAATTTTAAATAAAATATTATTTTATTCTATCAAGATCACCTATACATGAACAAATTTAATTAGTTGTGGATCATTAGTTGAGTTAAATTTAAATATAGGTAAATTATTTTTTTTTTTTATTTTTTTTTTTTTTTGCAGATTCACCAAGAACAATTTAGTAAAGAGGTTGAAATTAGATTTTTTTTCATATTAAATGAACTAAGAGGATCAATTTTAAATTTTAGAGATCAAAAATAAATTACTTTATAATAAAGAAAATAAAAACATACTTAAATTTTTTTTTTATTATTCAATTACAAATTAACATGTATGTATCATAGATTTTTTAATTTTTACAATAATTATTTTAAAATTCATACCTACCATAATTTTAATTAAATAATAGTGTAAAAAGTATACATTAACATTATATAAAAATTAAATTTAAATAATATTATAATATCAAATAATATAGAAAATTATAAATTTAAATAAAAACATATTAATAATATAAAAATTTTAATATTATTATTCAATTAATAGTTATGTATAAAAATTTATCAAATTTTAAATATATTTGAAATAATTTTAATTTATTGAGCATGTAAAAAAATCACATTAATAATTTATCTTATCTTAGTTATAATAAATAAACAACTTCGTCATAAATTCTGCATACAATAATTTTTTTCATATTATCTGCAGGCAATCATTTATCTTTATAATATTATTTTTTTCATGAGATTTTTCAAAAGAATGACTAATATTTTATCATAATGATATTTAATAATTAAAATTAAAACTGGAATTATTAAATGCCATTACACTTTCAATTTGTTACAATTATTTTTTTTTTGGAAATCTCATGAGAAAATTAAAATAATATTATGAAGACAAATTATTGCATTTAAATAACATGAAAAATGAAAAATTATTGTAAAGAGAATTTATGATGAAGTTATTTGCTTTATTATAAGTAATATCTCCCATAAAAAAAATAGTTCACAAATAGAGAATTGTAACAGAATTTTTTTTATGTGATATATAAATAAATAAATTATGCTGAATTTTCTTTCTCAAAATTAACATAAAGAATATTTGATGTATAAAAAATTATAATGAAAATTAACTTAAAAAAATTAATTATAGAAAATTAAAATTGTAACAATATAAATAATATTGTAAAAAATACCATAACAAAATATTAATATTATTATTCATGGATTGTTTTAACATAAATATAAATTAAAAAAAATGAACAACTTCTAAAGTATTATATATGTTTTTTAAAAGGAATATCTTGAAACATTATTTCTCTCGAGATTTCTCAAAAAAAAACATTAATTATAAAAATTGAAATTTCAACGACATAATAAAATAAAATAATAATTATTAATTATAGATAGTTTTAAAATAAATATAAACATCATTTAAAAGAACAATTTCTTGAAGTTAGCAAAAAACCACGTAGAAGGGAGTTGAATATGTGTAAGTGTGAGCAAAGAAATTTTAAAAACGTTTTCGCAAGGGACTCCTTCTTCATCCAGTAAAAATGTTATTTTAAGTTCTTAAAAGAACTTTGCAGGATTTGCTCAACAAGGAATTTTTCGTTTGAAAGTTTATCGTCTGCACACGAAAAGTATTTCTTAAACGAAAATTGTTTCTTAGGATGATAAATTAAAAAGGTGTAGTTTTCGTCTGAAGATAATTATAGTAAAGGATAAGTTATGGACGAAGTTCTCAATGTGATTTAACAGTTAAGGGAAATTGCGTCTGAAATATAAATAAGCAGTGCAAGAATTTTATACTGGTTCGCTCAGACTGAGCTACGTCTTGTCTCCTTCAATTGAAGAGTTCCACTAGAGATATTCAATGAAGTACAAGTATTGTTTGATCATCCTCTTCAGACACATAGTGAGTATTCTCGACCACTCTTGGTCCCGAGTATTATCAACCACTCTTAGTTCGTCAACTTCACCCGTCGACGCTAGTATTCTTAAACCACTTCTAGTTCCCCGAGAATTATCAACCACAACTGGTTCGTCAACTTCACTCGTCGACGATAGTATTCTTTATTCAGCCACTTTTGGCTCTCAGTGAGTATTATCGACCACCTCTTGGCCCGCTAACTTCACTCGTCAGCGTTAGTATTCTTTGTTCAGCCACTTCTGGCTCCTAGTGAGTATTATCAACCACCTCCTGGCCCGCTAACTTCACTTGTCAGCGCTAGTATTCTTTGTTCAACCACTTCTAGCTCTCAGTGATTATTATCGACTACCTCCTAGCCCGCTAACTTCACACGTCAACGCTAGTATTCTTTGTTCAGCCACTTCTGGCTCGCAGTGAGTATTCTTTGACAAGTCTCTCCAGGCTTTACAAGTATTTTTTCCCTAGCCTCTTCAAGCTTTACAAATGTATGATAGATGATTTTGGTTTGAGTGTTTGGTTTACTCTCACAGAGAGGATACACATGTTTGTACACTCACACAACCTTAGTTTTACAAAGATTGAGTGTGTGGTTTACTCTCACAAAGAGGATACAAAAATGACTACACTCACTAAGGTTCATGTTCCTAAGTTACACTCAGAACTCCTTAGTCTACAAAGATAAATACATCATTGTAGATTTGACTCTATAAGCTCTGTCTCTGGTTTCGTTATTTCATGGGCTTGATATCACTCTTTTTTAACGCCAAAGCTAACCTTTCAAGGTTTGAAGTCGTGATATATATAGTCTTGTAAAATTTGCCCGTTGTAAGTGTCCGTTGAATCAGATATAGTCATTCATGACTAGTTCGATCTTTCATTTAATGCACAAGATCTTTGCATTAAATGTTGCTTCCTGTTTATAGACGTTGGGTGAAGTCTTCTACGTTTGTTAGTAGTAGTGTCTGACTTTAGTTGAGACCTAGGAACTTTTTGTCTTTTTCTAGTCATCGTAGCTGTAGAGCGTTGTCCTTATCTAAAAAAATAATGTACTTTTTATGACACATGCATGTTTTTACTTTTGGCGTGCTTTCCTTTTTCTTCTTCTCTTCCTTTAATCACGCAATCATGTTGAAAGCATTTATATGATCGTAGACGATGCCTGATTTGTCCTTTGAGACTTGATTCTTCAAATCCTTGTATGGCAGTCTTCGTCTACGTCTGATAGTCCATGTGCATCTCACGTCTTGATCTTCATCTGAGCATTTGTCATTAATGCTTTGACTTTCTTTGGTCTGGTCAGTCATTGTAGATGGACAGACTTTGTTTCCGTCTGGAATACTTTTTAGTCTGTGTTGTCCTTCATCTGATATGTTGTTGACTTTCTTTTGATCTTTGACTAGCCTTCATCTGAGTTTTTGTATTGTGCTCTAGGTTGTTCTTGACACACCTTCGTCTGATATTTGATTCATTATCATCTAGCGCACATTTCATATTCCATCTATCATTTGTTTCGTTTATCATTTGTCTTTGTTTCGTCTGATTCTTAAAGCTTTCGTCTTGTTCTTGATTTAGTCTTGTTTGATGCTAGTTTTGGCCTTTCATTTGATACTTCAAGACTTCGACTGGTGGTACGCTTCGTCTTGTATTTTCCATCATATGATACTTGGTTGACCTACGACTGGTAGTATGATTTGTCTTGTATGTGTTGAGTTTTCGTCTATCTTTTGATCGTCTGATGTTTTGTATAGACTTCATCCGGTGCTTAACCCACTTTTGTCTGGTTCCTTA